CATTTGTTTCATCGGAACGTAAATCAAAAAAAGTTCCCTTTCATGTACTTTGAAATTCACAATGTTTTTGTCACACTTTTTAATTAAACTAAATTTATTACGCTAATTAACTATGAAAATGTATCATGTAATTAAATTTGAAAATAATGAAAGCCATGTACATGGCGTATACCAAGCCTCGACATGCACGACGACTGATGTGTTGACTAGTATGATGTGTTTCTCGCATCTTTCATCCTTGGTTCAATAAGTCTCTCTCTATACAGATGAAATTTTCAGACGAAGCCAAAAACAACTCGAGCCTTTATTGTTCTTGTTTGGCTCACAATCCCTCGTTAGTGTCAGTATACTAAATGAGCGTGTATTCACGTATTCCAACTGTGTAGTAATAACACGCTTCTTAGAATGGCAATGAACTCGTGCGCACTTAGCTAACCCAAACCAAGCTACATGGCTATTAACCGTCAAAATCGATCGAAACCACATGATTAACATGACCACCGAAATACACATTTCTGTATACGCATGCGCTGAAAAGAAGGCTGTTGAAAATCATGATCTTTAAAAACTACTTAAAAACAATTTAACAGAAGTCGAGATACGCCATAGACCATCATATGATCTATGAGTTACGGGTGGTTTAGATTGAAACTACCAGTTACTGTGAAATACAGATAATTCGTGTTAACAACCACGATATTCCCGGTACATGCCCTAGAATCATGTTGGCGAGTAGTTCGAGTTAAAAATCGTATTTACGCGTGATTCAATTCACGTTACGAGATGCAGGTAGTTAGAGTTCAAACCCACAAGTTCGATACGGCAAGTTCGAATTAAAAACGACGAGTTACTGGTACTGCGAGTTAAAAACTAGGGCTTACAAGGAGGTCGAGTTACGCTGCGAGTTACGGGCAGCTTGAGTTGAAAACTATGAGCTAGCTACGGGTAGTCTGCGAGTTACAAGTAATTCTAGTTACGCTGGGATCTGACGGGTAGTTCGGTTAATAAAACTGAACGTTACTTAACGACCCCGGCAGTCTCTTTCTCACTTGTAATCCCAATAAGGAGTACTTCCTTATTATTATTATTATATCTATATATATGGTTATTATCTCGCGTGTAGCAGAATGTACATACTCATTTTGGAGTTACCTGGTTTCACTACTCGGCTCTTTACCTCGATCTACATATATTTGATGTCACTGATTTGACCATGTAACATGTTTGTTCTCGAGTAGCTTCATTTGATATACAACTCACTGAAAACACTATAACAGCTGCGCATGCTTCTCCACTCCGACCTCCATGACAAGTGATCTTTTTTTTAAAGTTCTAGCTCCCGCAGTGTATTTAAAACCTTTGCTCGACTACACATTAAATATTCAATAACGAATCGTGAATTTAAAAAAACAACAACAAGTGTTTTTTATATGAAAAAATGTGAAAACGTATATATTTAGCAATAGAGTGAACAGCTGCAGCTTGAGGCGTTTATTGATTACATATTATCTTCGACGAGAATGTCGTGACGATGGACTTTCGGTATTTTCAACTGCCTTTAGGGATTGAGAAGGTAAAACGCATGCGCAGTAACAGTGTTTCCGCTCCCGGTTCGCAATGTACTCTGATTTACGAGTACAGCCACAGACTATAGAAAACTACATATAATGTTAAGTGTCATGCACTGAAAACACTGCATTCACACATGTTGACAACGAATAGCCATGACTTCCACAGTTACCTTCTGCTTGCCATGATACATCATATATTTGCTCGACGAACCAAGAATATTGTTACAATGATTAATCGCAATGGATCAGTTACTTTTTCTACTCACTGCTCATCAAATACACATTTTTCTTACATTTAGAGATGCTGTGTTCGAAATACACTTCCGGTTATAATGATATATTAGTGGTTCACAGCAATTTGTGATGTACACCATTCAAATAAGTCACGCCCTCTAGCGACATAAATGGGTGGAAGTAAAGTGGTTTAAATTATTTGTTCTGCAGTTGGTCGTCAATAAAATTAATATATTTGAGACATTAACTCTATTTTAAATGACAAAAGACTAAGCTACTAAACATAACTGTCGGTTTTCGAGACATTGATTTCACCCGTTGTCTTGACGTCACAGAAGCACTATGTCACTAGAGGGCGTATTATTGTATTGCGCAATCAAAAGGGTACCCAACGTCAGCTATTAAATTGGTACATCTTGTCATGCAACATTATACATTAATGAACACTTTCTGTATTTTATCAATATTAGGTGGGTGGGGTAAAGTGAAACGGTTGGTGCGAGGGATAGCGGATATGAAGAAAAGTATGCTTGTTCATACCAAAAGACAGGTTAGTAGTAGTACCGGCAGTTGTTGCATATGCACGCATGCGCAAGCTTCCACTTACATATAGTTATACAAGTCTAAATTCGAAGTATTTTCTTCCCCGTAGAATAATGTTTTGCTAAAGGCAGTTCCCTGTGTATTGAAACCCACCTTCTGTTAGCAGATATTCTCATTTAAAGCGGGGGAGTCGTCACCTGCACATGCATCAGATGGCCATAGCGTGTCATTGTTTATAAACAAGCATCTATCATTTTCTAACGGGCTAGTCTGTATTTAACATTAAATGCTTGATAAAAGTTACCATTGACAAACTTTATCCGAGGTAACCAATCTAACCAACCTCGAGAATTGTAAAATCGATTTACCTCATTGAGATTGCTGAAACATACAGCAATAACAAATTATAGAGATCCGGATATTGTACTTCATAATTGACTTTCTGACGTCATTATTCAAATCAACGAAAGACAAAAAAAAACTAAAATAAACGGGAAAACAGCTGTAGGCATCGATTTGTCTTGAGAACGAATGAAACAATCAAGAAATATCATCGGGATCTAATCGACCTACTGGCTTGGACTGAGATTATGTAAACCAAAACATGCCACTTCTCCGTAATGGGATTGGGAACGCGTACAACCTCGAGTTTCTAAACACGACACGGAAGTAATCTGTTAACTGTTGATATTGTGGATTGAACCGTTAATACCTAGAAGTCCTAACTTGAATTGTCATCTCTTTGACATAATATCAACATTATGGGAATTCTACCTCCATTTCATTTTTTTTTCAAAACAAATTAGATGCCATAATTCTTGTTTCGTTCCAGTTTCTTATTATTATGTACAGAAACAACGGCCAACGTGTGCACAGGCGCAGCGCGTGTTCGAATTCCATGTAAACAAAAAAATTATTTAGACTTGTTGTGTACTTCGCTGAGTCCCATATCTAATCCCATGCTAATGTGAAAAAAAAAATGGCGGACAAAGTCCTTATAGCTGAACACCGGTCGTGCTCGCACACATTCCCTGTCAGCTTTTGTGAGAACATTAGCTTTCTTCAAATAACACTATTATAAATTATATCTTTTTCCAGTTCAAATTATTTTCGAATTTTTACAGATGTAAATCAGATTTAAATTAACGAGCTATAGTTCGGAACCATTATTTAAATGCACTAAAGACTGAATGGGAAGTAACGATATCTCAAATTTAATGTGTATGAGGGGAATAAAAATCTGTGGCTGTTCCATGATCTGTCGACACACCCTGTCGTCCTTCGTAATTGCGTTAATGTACAAAGACGAACTCGAAGATATGGAAACAGTCAATTATAGCGTCAAAGTTGTTCGCCGAATGTGGAGAAAATGATTGCAATTATCTATCTGCCTCTGCATGCGGTCGTCTTTTAAGTAATCGAATATGCTCTCCAGATTTGAAATTCTAATATTAAAGACAGGACGCCATAAGCTAAACATTTTTATCAGGAAACCCGAAGCAATATGTGTAGCGCTATATGTAAAACACGATGCACGTGACCATGTTTGATAAACGTATTCCGCGTTAGGATTACAGCACGCTCTCACGAAATTTTACTAGCCAGTCACCGGCACTCGGTACTGTCACAGCTGAAAACTATCACGAAGATATTTGAATTCGAATAAATATTGATGTAGTACCGTATTTCAAGTATTTCAGAACATCGGTCAAATTACCCACGCGGCTTCAGTTACAGAAATATATATTAATTGCATATATATAGCAGAATAGATACGCGACGCGTTCTGTTCGATATGGGTCCCATGCGACATATACAACGCGTGTAAAATACACTGTTTGTTTACACGAAATTCAAAAACGCAACGAATGTGGTACTTTAATTTAACATACTGTAGACTACGTCATTTGCCTTCCCAGAGTTCCCTGCGTAAAGAATGTCGAAATTACTTCAGGCATCATATGGCATTTGGATGCTGTGAAAAGACCACATCACGCGCGTTTCACTACCTATGCAAAATTATTTCATTTGGACACTCATGTTGATTTTTTGTCAATGGTGAAAAGGTTTTAAAATGGTTTATCGACTATATTAAAAAATAGTGTGCACCCTTTTTCATGTGACTAGTAAAATCAGGTCACGAGAGTTAAATCTGGCACACAACGCATGCTTGTCCGACTACCAATCACTTTGTATAACAGAAAGTCAAGAAAACAGTCATAATCTTCAAATATTTTACGTCGTGTGTTTAAGCAACGAGTTATTGAATGGTGTTCATATTCAAAAGTAGTGCCTCTCTGATGCATCAACATCAGAAACGAGATGCTCACCTTCCCGTGCGTAAGCGCAAGTGGTCGCGTTTTATGTTGGGGGGGGGGGTCACTGGTCGTGTTAGTTTCAGTTGACCTTTAACCTGAGATGTATGTCATGTGTTATATGTTCTATGTCATTAATTTCTCCAACGGAAGAGGAGAAAGCTTTACCAAACCCATGAACATTAGAGAACAATATTCAACGATGCATACTACCCCCGCCCAGCGTGTCATTGACAAGGCCAGACGCCAAGATTGTCTAAAGATGTGTTTAGAAGACTTGAGGTCTAGACGTGGTGCCTCGGTGGGCTCATCAAAGCAAGTCGATATCGGCGATCACACTCAACTATACAATTAAATTATATGATACATTGCATTTGTTACCTCCGCCAAGGATATTGTGTTTTTGCTGACGTTGGTTTCTAGGTTTATTTGACTGGCGGGATGTTAATGTGAACAGTTATGGACGAATGAAACAATTGAAAAACAACATTTTAGGAGGGGTTACCTAGTATGAGACAAGGACCTCGTCATTGCCAAAACTATTGAAAACAGTTGTAGATGAATTTTCAGGACATTTTCCGAGGGGCTATTCTTTTATTTGAGGGCATATTTATTAGGAAAGATGGAAACTCTAGTTTTGTATTTAGCTTTTCTGTTTAGGAAAAATGATCTCTGTGTTTGAGTGCCACTCATAAACAAATGATTCAGCGTAGCGAAATTCACAATATGGTCATGGAAATTCTCTTCTTATGTAATCTGTAAAGTTGGAATGACAAAAGAGAATAGCGAAACTTATAAGCTTGGTATCAGGGAACACATGAGTAATAAAAACTGGAGCAGTTCATTTGGCAATATACACCTACTTCAGGTTCCATTAGAATTGTGATTACTGCTTGGTATTTCGCCAGGTACATAAGTGGACGGAACTTTAGACTGTAAACCTACAGTACATAATAGACGTACTATCTTCAGAAATTATGCTAAATATTACTTCTAGTAAATAAATGTACGCGACGTCGGAAATTCGCGCACGTGTCACTGTAGGTGCGTGTTCATTGCACGCTATATCGAACAGTGTTTTTTGGACGTATAGTCTGGCGTAGTGCGGTGCGCGTCTTCTTTGTGTTACGTATTGATATGTTCGGAATATAACTATTAACAGTTTATTTTAATCACTACTGATCAGATATTTATACATAGTTTTGAAATATAGTGTCTGAATGAAATGATTGTGACCATAGACTGATTGACATATTGTTGATTTAGCTTACAGTTAAAAAAAAATGAAGAATTTTACAAAAATATTTTATTTTCCCCCAGAGATTAGAGGAGCGCGACTTTCATAGGGAAGTCCGACCTACTCAAGACATCAAGAATTTCATGAATGAAGCTACGGTGATCTTTCATCTCCCAGGTACTAATATCCATGACGTCATCATGCCAATGTTAACAAAAGTGCTGACCAACGAGTCAGGGATTAAATTAGAAGAAGCAAGACGGGCACTATTTACTGACGAATCTTGTAAGTTTGCAGTCATCCTCATATTTTCACCTCGTACCAGGATTCATGCGTGACCCCGAAATGTCACACATCCTGGTACCTTTTAGGAATATTGTTGTACTAATCGCAATAACAGTGGATTACAACTGCCTCCTATTAGACATTGAACCAAATGACCACTGAGAGCTAGTTGAGGACAAGGAATCCACTCTCCCTCTCTCTCTCTCTCGTGGCTATTGTCCCCTATAATTGTACAAGTAACTACAATATTTGGAACAATGAACACAAAGTAGGGGTAGAACGAACACTTTGAGGGCGCTGTAACAAACTCGCGCGGCTTTCTCGCTCTCAACGAAATCTCGACGGCCATTCGCGACAAAGCCTGCGCGTGATATTTTTGTTCGATTCGGCAACAAACGTTCAAGCTTGTATGAGTTGTGTTCACGTTGTGTAGTCCTACACACACAAATTTGCACCAAACATCAAATAAAACATTAGTAATTTATTAGGATACCATAAGATCTTTCTGCGAAATAGGAAAAACAAGATAGCGGCTTGGTGACATACTCGGACGAAAATAATCACTTTACACTGAAACCCGCCAATAGTCCATTGAGTGTGTCCGCAACTTGTCTCTCCTGATATCGTAGGCACCCGCCGTGCTTTGCAAAACATTCATTTTACCTCCGCAGATTATCCACCATTCATTCATGCATCGTCTTTTCCCTCCAGCTTCATTACTTTCCCATTCACTGCAGTCCAGTGTGATGCTTGGCGGCGGTATGTTTTTTGAAGAAAGTTGGTTATGTGCCTTGTAAGTAAGCAACCAAGTACTTAAAGCAGGGGACTAGTCATCTGCGCATGCGTCAGACGGCCTTGGCGTGTCATTGTTAATTACCATCAAGCGTCTAACCATGAGCCTTTGCGTTTTTAGCGTGTGTTGTCATCGTCGCTTGGGACTCGATTTCCGCGCGTGCGCAGGTGACGACCCTCCCGCTTTAATATAGATGTTTTTCCTACTATCTTTCTTTCTTCTGTCTAAAAAGAGTGACTAATTTAAGGCCACGAAGAATTAATGAAAACATTTCTGTCATAAATTTTACGAATTTTATGAAATTTCGGACGACTGTATTCTTTAATACGATATAGTGTAGTTTTATTGGATGAGCGATTGACTTCGAATAGAGCATGGCGCTGAGGTAAATGGGCGTTTACCCTTTGCGTTTTCAGCGTACGTTGTTATCGTCGATTGGGACCCAATTCCCCGCGTGCGAAGGTGACGACCCCTCTACTTTAACAAGATAACCGATGTGAACAAGCACATGTGTTATTCACACGAGAATACACAAATTGCTTGCACAATTCAAACGTCTTTTAAAGCCGGTCTACCATGCGAATGTCTTGTTTTGTCTCTATTACGCAAGATCACTATGATTAAAAACAAATACATGAGTGTAAGTTACGTTGCCAAAAAGATTTCTTAACATATTTCGAAAGGTACGTACAAGAATACAACAATTGTGACAAATAACGTGCAGAAAACCAGGATAAAAATAAAAAAAAAAACAATAATGGCGGGACTGAATGTCTTTACAATCCGCCACATGATAGAATTCACTTGGTGGATGATGGTGGTTTTAACCATAGTCTATATTTAACTTAACTTAAAAGAACATTTTTTAAAAAAAAGTGTGGTCGTTTGATATAAATGTCACGAACAATATTCTAAGGAGCTTACGCGATGTTGTAGCAATAGAAGAGAGTATCACATGTGCCAAACACATCAGACGGTATTTTATTTCGTTGTCAGGGAAGGATTGAGACTGTAAACGAACGGGGGTGGTGTGAACCGGAGATCTTTATTCGGAGTCGTGACATCATATAAGTACAAAAGTTGTATCTGGGCGTTGGCCCAACGGCCAAGCCCAGAGAGCAAACAAGTGGACCAGGTCCGGTGTGTCTCCCTGAGTCTATATCTGTGTATCTCTAAGTCTAGAGTAACATGTCTTTTTATAAGCTAAATCACGTGATCCAATTTGACACGTTACATGACTCAAAACAACTTTATGTTAGGACAGTGATTCAATACACACGCATAAGTTTCCCGAAATAAAATACATTGAATAAAAAATACAAAAGTGATTTTAGCACTTCCACATCGTGGGTAATTGCTTTACCTGCTGATTTATCGCAGGTGATAATGTCATACACTGTCAGCTGCCCATATACCACATACGTGCTAAAAGCGATACGGATATTGTTTTAGAAACCACGCTTATTGATAGCAATGTGAAGATACGCTTGATATTGTTTCAGTACAAGCGTCATCCCGTGGGAATCCTGACAAAGTCCATGACGGGTGTCCGTACGAGCGATATGACATCGTCATTCGAAAACGCGCACATTAGAGAAGAGACAATATAATGACTATTTAACCCTTTTCACCACAAGACTTTCTCACACAATTGTTTCTGCAATTTCTTGATAATATTCTGCATTATTTCTGAAAATAGACTCTAATTTTGGAGCCAACAGACAAAATATGACTCTTTTACTCACAAAATTTGTCTATTTTTGTCCCAATCATGTGAAGGAAAGTGTAGACAATAAACGCGACTATTTTATGAATTTGTGATGAAACGAGAGGGAACTGGTGGTGAAAAGTGTAAATAGTTCATGTGTAAATTGCAGACTTAAATGCAAATTTTCAAATTGAAGCAGGTAAACTACTTACAGTTGTAAAACGTTTATCTCGGCAAATGAAATGTTATACTATTATATGCATTATCCGTCTTTTTTTTTCTTTCAGTGCAAGTCACAAAAATTTACAAAGACGCCACGTGGCAATAGGCAGACTTCGGAGACCGACCAACTTGGGTTTTACCTGCAGCGATGTACGGTTTGTTGTATTAGTATTGGCGCCCGCAGTTGAGGTAATGTGTATTCCTAATACTTAATCAATGGACCTGATATGCAAATGGCCGCCGTAATCGAGATCTCGGCGAGTGCATTGTTAGCAACATAAACTACATATTTTCCTCATCTGCATTATTTGCATTCTTGTATTCAAAATTATAGAACCTTGCTAAAATGTCCAAATATTGTAAATGAACATTTTCGATTAGTGTGAGATTTGAGCAATTCCTTCGCAAAGCCTGTATGAAAAAGCGTATGTTTCCCTACTCGAAGCATAATGTATCACGTATGTGTTTTATTCTAGAAAGGGACCAAGAATTCTATGGAAACAGCCATCACATTTGGTACACTGTTCACGGATATTAATTTTCGCGTGTCTCTCTGGGAAGAGGCTGGAAATGAAGAAGAGTTCTTGAAGGTGAGACCAGTCATGACTAACAGTACATAGCTGCGAGATTCATCGATGTGGTCTGTGTAACGGGCAACCCTTCGAACGCCATATTTTGTCTCACCAAAATAATTGTGCCCACGTGCATTTTTCTGTAATTTCCGCGTTTAGTTTGGACTACATATTTTGAGTAAAAAGTTGTTAAAAATGTTGCACAGGTCGCAGGGTTGGATTTGTGAATTGTGACACAATGCGCCCTGTTCGATATGAGACTCATAGCGACGTACACAACGCGTGTAAAGTACATTGTTCGTTTACACGAAATTCGAACACCGACCACCACCATTTGAAGTATACGTATATTACTAAAATGTGTTGGTTAATTGATGTTATTGGCGTGTTGGTACGGATGAAGTGACCATAGGTGCATTGTGGAAAACGATTTTTGTATAATCTTTGTGTAGTTAGGATGTACAAACTATTCTCATGTATGTAGCTTATTATTTGCATCTATTAGCATAAGCATGCCCGCATTTTGTGCTACAAATGTCATTTTGGCTCAGTCACTACATTGGTTATAATATACGAACAAAATGGTAGCTCATGTTTCTTCAATACAACTGATATGACATCTGATTCATTTCAGATACTGCGAGTCCGGGTCAATGAACTTTCTGACAACAAAAATATCCGTAATGTGGTAAGGCGGCGAGATAGCCAAACGGATACACACAATCCTTTCCTCCAAGCAGATACAGTGAGTAACCACGTGACACACATATGCTACTTCACACAGAAATAAAAAAATCTCCCCCAATAGGCCGGGGGTAGTGTGGATTTGTTTGCGGGGTTTCGTCATAACATCACACAATTTCAATTTCAATTTATTAAAGAACGCTTAAAACTCCGCAGAAGGTATTGAACTACAAAAAATACAATTATAAAAAACAGAATTCAAAATATAACACTGTAATAAGCAGAACAATTAAAAAAGTTAATTTGGAAGGAGGTGTTGCTGTATTTTCTACGATAAATGTGTTTATATGTTACACACGACTTATTAATCTCAACTTTGCGAGGCTGTGAACAGGACCCCTTATCTTACTGCATATAGTACACTTTCCTGTAATATAGTTTGTTGTAATGCACGTCGACCTTGGACATTGCCGATTAATTATCTCTAAAGAAAACATATAAAACTTAATTTAATCTGCAAAATTTGATTTTAATTTAGTGAATCCAGTTTATGTCAATAATATTAAATACATAATTTAATAATTTTATTTTTACTCCTTGTAGAGAAAACGCTGCACTGTTCTCAAAGGTGTCCGAGAGGACATGAAAAGACGCATTCCAAAATATAAAAGTGATTTCAGGGACGGTAAGTCGATGGCAAATACTCGGAGCAAATTCGAGCTCGGTTCAATTTGTCGTAGACGGCAATCACACTCGCAACAACTCACGCGTGATGAGCTATGTGGCCACATTGTTCGCGCGAGCTCCAACATGGTGTTACTAATAAAAGCAAGTGATTCGTTGTGTGTTCAGACAACTAGTTAGAGATTTGTGTTGACATGATTGATGTCATACTGTGTCTGTGATTGCGTGCGAATAAGTAGTATCGAACCTAGATCGGCTCACGCTTGGTCGACGAATCTAGGAACCACGGTGACCACCAAACCCAGCAAGTTATACGAAAGAGTCACAAAAATGTTTGTTCGCGGCGAATGAAGCAGAATAATTCTTGTATAGCTGTTAATGTAGGCATGGCGCTTTGTTCAACGAATTGAAATGCTGTGTATTACGTTGTTGCTCTAGATTTTCCAAGGAACATTGGGATATATAACATGTACTTTATGATTATATGATCATACGTGTTGAGTGACCTTTTTCAAGTTCATGCTGTTTCACAGCATGAACTATTAAGTACTATTACTATTGATACTATTAAGCAAAGTATCGTGATTTCTAAGCAGTCATCTATTTCTTAAAAGAAGCAATGCATTTGGGATAAAGCCGGAAGCCATCACGATGTTTTGATCAAACTCGAAATATTCTGAATGCAACACACATCTCGGCTCATTAGGCTCATGGCGAAAACTAGTTTCCGATTAAAGAAAACGTACAAAACACATTAGATTTGTCGATGTGTAAAGCCCATGAATTTTCCCAACGTATGGAGAATAAAAGCTTAAGTGGATGTAAACTACTGAATACATTTGTGGTACCCTAACGCGATTCTGATTTGTAATATAATCGAGAGTTCCTCTCATTTTGCATGCACATGAAGATTACAAGATTATACTGACCTCATATCAAGCAGACGACGTCAATGTGAGCGACATGGACATTTTACAGTCTAATTGTATTTTCATCGTCACATTCTGCATTCAAAGTTGCCACCTTCACTCAGTGATCGGTTCATTAGGGTAGAATCCTATTCTGCGATATGAATACGAAATTCTCTGAATCTGTAGAGTTCAAATTAAACTCTTATGAGGATATTAATCGTGCTGTACTTGCAGAAAATATTGTTTCTAAATTAATTTCGATTTTTTTTTATCACGGTTTTTCAAAGATATTTAACAATTCTGGGTCGGGTCAGGATTTAAAATCGGATCACAATAAAATAATATGTTATCGTTCTCATGGAAATTGGAATTAGAATACAAATCATTATGTAATATTCATATTTTCTCTAAAATATATAATGTTGTATCGCGTTGCATCATCGCTTGTATTGTTACAATCTATATATAATTATGACGAAATTCCGTTTACGGGAAGATTATTTTCTGGCTATTTGGCCAACTACACGCTATTTCTCCTGCTTGACAAGCGTCAGGAAATATTGTAACTTACTAAAAGGTTAAGAAGGTGGAGTTCGTACGTAGACGCTATGCATACAACGAAAACAGCGTTTTTCCATTTGTATTTTTCAGGTATTTACGGCGGAGCTTACACACTGCGGGTCCTGATCACCACGATTATATTTCTATACTTTTCATGTTTACTGTTCGCCTTGTCTCTGGGCGTGTTGAATGACAAGAACACACATGGATATATTGGTAAGAATACATTACCCGTCGTGCAACAGTTAGTTGGTTTTATCTTTCGCGAAGTCACGTTCGGGCGTACTCGGATTACCGAACTAATCCGACTGATCAATGTCATGATATTTGTTCTCGGAAACATCATTTTAACACGTTTTTAACCGTTTCGCATGCCTGACTAATTGCTTTTAAACCTGACATGAATTTAATACAAATTGGATTGTCGATGCGCCGCAGGCGTGTGTCGCGATTGGTTTCAACATGAAAATGGCCGACTGACAGCCGCTCTGTTGTATATGCGTATGCATGTGTTTCAGTGACTCTTTTCCCGGCTGTCACTGACCCGGATGTTGTTCAACGTCGGTAAAATTACGACAATTAGAAATGTGCAAAAAAAAATGTATCTCATTTCCACCTGACCTTATGCGGATGACTGACGTCATAGACAAAATACTTGAACATGTCAGTGACTTTTTGTCGGACATACCTGGGGTTGTTTAATTCAAAAGTATTATTATTTTATGAATGACTTTTTTTATAATGTTGTTATTAAATATGATATTAGAATGCAAGCCGAGAGGTGTGAACACAGGGAGCCCAGGAACTATAACCAACTGTAATACGCAGTCTCTATGAGCGCGGGGGGGGGGGGGTTATCGGCTAGTATCTAGTGTAAG